TATAGAGTGAATAAGATATGTCCAGCTGCCACAGGCCTGGCCAGGGAACTTTACTGCTCATCACAGAAAACAGAGAGTTATTTGTTACAATCAGATGCACAAGGCGGGGAAAACGTCCAGGACACGCCTGCCTGGCACCTTCCACCAACTGCCCAAGACCAGTGAATGTGCGGAAACCCCACAGGCTGCCTTTGAAGCGTGCCAGCCCGTCACCAGCACTGGACCCGTCAGGCCCTGCATACCTGCTGTGTTTCTGCAGAGAAGCAACACTCACGCTTAGCATCAGGAACGAAGCGACCGTTAGACCATCTTCCATCTGCTGAACAGCCTTACTGCGCCAGCCTTCACTCAGAGAGCTCAAAGCACCTATTTTTATGCAGAATAGAGGCCTACACACCAAGAAAATCCACCCAAACTTTTGTGCAGACATGGAGCAGACACTGCATCCCCGTCAGGGACGTAGTGGTGACACAGAGCGGGTGCCAGGCTCCTCTCTGCTGGTGACAGAGACAGGCAGGACAGGAGGTGCCTAGCCCCTCATGGGGACGGTGACAAGAGCCAAGCACTGCCGTTCGTACAAGAGCTGAATGCCAGCACATGAGGGGAAGCCGGCAGCCTGAGCAGAGTCACTCTGGGGACAGATGCCACGGGAGCTCCCGCAGCCGTTCACACTGCTCCTGGGAGCTGCAGCTGCACGGCGTGCGTGCAGCCAGCCCATGACTCACACGGAGCAAGAAGCTGCTTCAGAAACACCAGCAGCTGCTTGGGGAAAATGCTCCTCAAACAGCCCCGTGCGAGCGCAGCACAGGATGAGCAGAAGAGCAGCAGGCCCCTCTCCTCTCTCGCCGTGCCTAGCACGGCAGCAGGCCCCCGACCTACCTCTCTTCATCCAGGCTTTATGCTTTAGACTTGCGCGCTGCTGGGGGCCGGGAGGGGCGTGCAGAGGCAGGGGAGATGCCAGAACCTGGTGAGAATCTACATTTATCCATGACGCTGAGAGTCTTTTATTTCCTGGATGCAGAAGCACATCAAGGCGAGGGAAACACTGACTGCGGCAGAGCCTGGCAGGTCCGCACGGTGGTGACAGATGGCCTCTTTTGCTGCGATTTTTTTGAGCTGCTCTCTCCAGCTGTACACAAACCAGCACCAGCCCCTTCCAGCTCTGCCCTGCGCAGGGGCTGCCCATCAGGACGGGCTAAGGGCATGTCTCACCATTCTGGCTGTGGAGGTCAACGGGTGATCCTGACCGAGGGCTGCATGCAGGCTCCGTTTTGCTCACTGATGGGAAAAGCCGAGCTCAGAAAGCACATGGGGCTCTGAAAGAAGGTGCTGAGAGCAATGTGCCGGAGAGGCAGAGCCCACAGGCCAGCCCGGCCTCTACAGCAGCCAGCTGGGAGGGCAGCCGCCCCGCAAATGCCTTTTCTGAGGCTGGGGACCTCACCTCCACGCACAGATGAGAGAAGAGAAGCTTCTTTTATTTCCAGCAAATCCCACAGATCTGCATGGGGCCACAGCAAGGAGAAATTGGGGCTGCAAACCACCCAGGGAGGCAGCCCTGCCACCTCTCCTCTTCATATGGTCTCTGTCTGTTCTTGGCAGGGACTCCAAGGGCTGTGCAGAAATGACTCTGAATCTCGACAGCATTTCTTCTGTCCCCAGCACCTGTCACAGGCCAGTGAATAGCTCAGCTTTGTTCCCTGCACAACGGGAGCAGCCCTCCACGGCCTGCAGCTTGCTCTGTAACATGCTAAGTGGCCACCAAGGCTTTCTGCAGTCACACCATCCGCTTCGACCGCCCCTTTTAGCACACAAAAGGGCAGCCCTCTCCAGGGAGCAGGGGTGCCCAGGCATCCCGGAGGGAACACCCTCAGGCAGGCAGAGGCACTGCCATCCTCTCTGCCCTGGTAAGGCTGCAAACCAGGCTTGGCCACGCCAGGACACTGCCCTCCAGCCGCAGGGCACGTGGGGAGCGGGCAGCCCTACAGCTTCTCTGCAAAGCTGCCGAGCTGCTCACAGGTAAGAGGAGGCACCTGTGTGCAGGGAAGCTGCATCTTCCCAGCCACGTCTGGAACCAGGCAGGAAGCAGCCTGTACCTCAGCTTTTGATCTCTACAGAGAAGTCGTTACTGAAACTTTTCAATTACAGGATTAAAGACAAACGTGCTTCCTGCGTACACAGGGCTGACCCATCCAGCAGCTGCATGAGGAGTCAGCAACAGGCTGGTCCTGCCAGGCTGCCCGGGGGAGGAAAGGGCTCTCGGCAACCTGCTGTGCCTTAAGGAAGAGCCAGGGACCTCACTGGAGCATGGTGCAACCCTCCAGCCATCACCCTGTGCTGGTCCCTGCTCTTCCCACCATGGGCAAGGCTTGCAGTGCATTGAGGACAGAAGCTCCGGGTGTCTGTTGCCTTTGGCACCACTGAAGTGCCATCTGCTAATCAAGGCCAAGAGAAGCTGCTCAGCCCTGGCTCAGAACACATTGCCAGCACTGCACAGAAAGCCTTCCAGGGTCCTGGGTCCTCACCACATCCCACCTCCCCAACACAAACCTATCACAAACCCACCAGACTCCTCTCAAACTCAAAGTCATCTCTAAGACACCTTCTGGGCAGCCAACACAGAAAACAACCATCATGCATCTGCAGACGTACACCAGAAAGGGCAATTCCAAGGGGGCTGCCTTTGTCCAAACCTCCTCCTTCTTCTCTTCCTGCAGGGAGGTGATGACTGTAACTGCATTTTTCTTGTCACATAGGAAACTGGGCATCTCAGTAGGCAGAGGCAGGTGCAGTAGGCAGATCACAAGCCCTCCAACTATCTGCAGAAGAAAAAGGCACCCAGGCGGATGACTAACTCCTGCTGGAAGGTTTCATTCTGAATCCGAAGTGACTGTGCAGAGGAGCTGAGATAGGGGCGGTGAAAAGCCGAGACTGATCCTGATGGGAGCAACAATACAAACAGGGATGCACAAGCATCTGTGGGTACGGTGACTGAAGCACAGCAACAAGACAGGCCAAGTCCCCCATCCTTCTGCAACAACATCCCTGGACTGCAAGCCCCCCATCTCCCTTGCTTTCTACAACACAGAGCGAGGGAAGCAGCACAGCAGTGGAGAACATTGCCAAGCACAGTGAAAAAGAAACCAATCTAATAAAACAAGCCCTGATCCAGCTTGTGAGCAGCTTCAGTACACAAGCTGGGCTCCACTCTGCTGTTTATTTGTGAGACACAACTAATAGCAGGTCTTTGCGGCCAGAAACAACTGCACAGCTCCCTGTTTAACAAGACCTCCCCTCACCACCACTAAGTTCACCCTTAACTTCAGCCGTGAGTTTGGAGAACAAGACGAGGTTGCTTTGCACCAAAGGAGACAGAACTGGTGCAGCCAGAAGAGGTCAAAGCATCACAGGGACTGATGCAAACACTTTACAGCAGTTATGCGTGATGCCACGTAGGCACTGACTCCTGCAGAGCTGGGACGCTGGCTGCAGCACTCACAGCACACGAGTAAAGAGTGACAGGGCACTTACCAGAACACAAGTCCAAAGTAAATGCTGCTCTCTGCTACAAAAATGCCTGCTCCCAGGTGTGCTCCTCTCATTAAAGATGCTCATTTGGGCTTATTTGCTCTAAAATCCAACTTGATTTTAGGCTGCTTTGAGAACTGACTCCTGCTCACGACACCAGCGTGTCCCTGTCACAGGCTGCTGCATGCACAGCATCAGCAGGGACCTGTGGCTGGCGGACTGCCTTGGATGCTGGCAGCAACTGTCAGGAAGAACCACAATTCAGAAGCCATTTTACACCAAAATATATTGAAAGCAAAATTATCCAGGTTAAACATCACTCTCGCAGGAGCTGTCAGCTGGCAAACAGTGACAATCCCGTTTCTCTGCTCACCCAGAGACCAAGGAGCTGTAGCAGAAAGTGGCTGTCTCACTGCTCGCCTGGATCCGCTTCACGCTTTCCCCAGGCTCCCACCCA